GCTGCAGACGGGCTAACGTTAGCCCTGGCCGCCGCAGATGGGCTAACGTTAGCCCTGGCCGCCGCAGATGGGCTAACGTTAGCCCTTGCCGCTGCAGACGGGCTAACGTTAGCTCTGGCCGCTGCAGACAGGCTAACGTTAACCCTGACCGCAGCAGACGGCCATTTTGGTTTCCATGTAGTTTGGGGTTTGAGTCTTCCACTGTGACCACCTCAACTACAGATAAAGAGCTGCGCTGCACAGCTAAACGGCTCCACAGCGCCACCTACCAGCCTGGCGGTGCAGAGGGAGCCCATTTGTCCTCAGTTTTAGGTCAAAATGTTTTGTTAAAAAAAAAAATCAATACTAGGAACCTGAGCTTGTAAATTGATTCCCGCTAAGGAGGATGTTCACTCATTCGCTCCGCCTCTCTCCGCCAGGATGCTACGCTCTAAATCCGCTCCGTGCTAACCTTCATTTTCCCGCCGCTCCGGCGAAATCGCACCACGCTCACTCAGATTTTCAGCAGAAGGCATTTTCTGACAGTTTTCCTTCCTGTACTGAAGCCAGGACCCTGAGACACGCGGCGTTTGATTTAATGATGCGACCGATACACGTGGACCGCCTTATTTAACTGGCTGTTAAATTATCGCAGCCGGGAACGCAACCTCGCTCCATCATGTTGCTCCGCCTCTTCTATTTAATTATTCATTTATTTTATAGCGAGCGCATCGGAGCGAATAACCTTTGAATTGAAGACCGCTCTGATCTCCACCATATTTCTTCCTCTCCACGCTCTGCCAGGAACTAAAACATCCACAGATATTATATCAGGCAGCCAAAAATCTCAATATATATTACCAACAGGATTTGGTAATATAGTCTGCTCTGATATTCATAAGTCAGAAATCCAGTAACACACTGGTACCACTGGTTTCACTGGTATCACTGGTACCAGATGAGATGAATGCAGCATGCAGGAAACCCAGCGGTTGCTATGGCGCCACGCAGGCTTTTCTTATTATTCAGAAAGTTGAAGTTTGCATTAATCCTGATAAATGACCTGAAGCTGCTTTGATGATGGAATAATTATCGATGATTTGGATTCATTTGGATGTTTTTCAGGATTCGCTTCAATAAGTTTCAGCTAATTAACCTTTAAACGTCAAACATGAAGCTGCAAACAGACCAAACTGGTTATTAACGTCCCATCATGACCATCAGGGTTGTTTCTGGGTGGTCCTGGTTGTAGCGGGTAGACGTCTGGGTGCTCAGGGCTCAGAGAAGGGATGTGCACCTGATGATGATGATGATGATGATGATGGCGGAGGCTTCTTCATCTCCTGCTGATCCATGAGGCCTCATCGTCTCGCTCGCTGTCTCCCTCCCGCCTGCAGGTGCGTAAATACCTTCTGATGCTGGACGTGAGGAAAGACCACATCAAGTTCTGGAGACCTCAGGTCCTCCTGATGGTGTCCAACCCCCGCAGCAGCGTGGGCCTCATCACCTTCATCAACGACATCAAGAAGAGCGGCCTGTACGTGCTGGGACACGTCCAGCTAGGAGACCTGAGTAAGTAAGGTGGTTCTGGTTCCAGTGCTCCCAGTCTGGATACTGGTCTCTCAGACTCTCCTGTCCTGCTGTCTGATCATGTCTCCATGGTGGAGCAGAAGGACGCAGCTCAGTTCAGATCATGTCCTTCATTCTCTGAAGGTTCTCTGGTTCTGATGGAACCTGCAGGTTTTCATTCAGGCAGGAACAGGAAGAGGATTTTCTGTTTTCCTGTTTCTCTCCTGGTTTGAAAAACTCCCCAGAGGAAGAGAGCAGCGATGGCGTCTGGATGGCGTCTGGATGGCGTCTGGATGGCGTCTGTGTTTTGATTAAAATTGTACCTGAAGCGGCCTGCCGCCATGCCGCCGCTCGGCGCTCTGATTGCAGGGTTTGCTTTTCCTGGTTCTCCTGTTAGCAGCTGCTGTTCAGTTGAACTAATTCCAGGTGGAAATGATGGAGGGATCCTCCTCCGTCCTCCAGGCCTGATTTCATTTCTTCCTCATAACAAACCCGGCCATCTTTATCCGGATCCGGAACATTCAGCTCCTTCCTGATGAGCTGCTGTATGGAAAGCCGTTATGACAAAAAATGCATTAATTCATAAAAGTATATATTTTTAAAGATTTTGTAGCTAATTTTGACTCTGATTTACTTTAAGATTTATTCATAAATATATTCAAGTTTAATTTCTTTATTTCAGGATTCGTTTAATGTATTTATCTAAATCTATCAATTCACCTCCAGATGGAACCTTCTTTATTTTTTATTTCAAAGTTAGTTATAGATTTTTTTCTCAGGTTTTATTTTAGCGGGGGTGTGGCGGCCCAGTGGTTAGGGCATAGGTCTTTGAATCCTGAGGTTGTGAGTTCGATCGCCCACAGACTGGCAGACAAAATGGCAGCCCTCTGCTCCCCAAGGGGAGGGGTTAAATTAATGAATTTCTCTCTGGGATTATTAGAGTATAAACATTTCCATCTTTCCATCTTCTGACCCGTCTGCTCTCCTCCCTTCAGGCTCTCTGCCGTCGGACCCCCTCCAGGCTCAGTACGACTCCTGGCTGTCGCTGGTCGACCACCTGAACATCAAGGCGTTTGTTAACCTGACGCTGGCCGATTCTGTCCGCCACGGCGTCCAACATCTCCTCTTCATCTCCGGACTGGGTCAGTACCACCTGCTGACGTTAAAGTGAAGATGTCAGAGCTGCTGACTGAGTTAGTCTGCTGTTCCTGTAGGCGGGATGCGCCCCAACACCTTGGTCCTGGGTTTCTATGACGACGGCCTCCCCAAGGATAAGCTGATTGAATCGTCCTTGTTTCCCACCGAGTCGTCGGATCCCGTGGTTTCCTCCCAGGTCCTGGATCAGCCGCCTCCGTACCACTTCGCCGCCCTGCGGGGGTCCGGCGATGCGGGTGAATTTGGGAACGGGAAGGTTTTAGGCCCCCAGGAGTTCGTCTCCATCATTTCAGATGCCATGAAGATGCTGAAGAACGTGGTTCTGGCCCGATATTTCAATGACTTCGACCGAGCGCAGGTCCTCTCGCCGCCGTCCTCGGCAGCCAAGGTGTTTGTCGACGTGTGGCCGGTAAACCTGCTGCGGCCGGACAGCTGCAGCTACGTGGACACCTGCTCCCTCTTCCTGCTGCAGCTGGCGTGCATCCTGAACATGGTGAAGGCGTGGCGGAAAGCCACGCTGCGGCTCTTCCTGTGCGTGGAGGAGGGGCGGAGCGTCAGAGGCTCGGAGGCCAAGCTGGGCCAGCTCCTCAAAGACCTGAGGATCAAAGCTCAGGTGTACCCCGTACCCTGGGACCAGGTGGTGGCGCTGCACTGGCAGAGGCAAGGCGGCTTCAGCAAGAACCAGAGGTCGCAGGCCGCCGACTCCGGCGCCGCCGAGGAGGAGAGCGAAGATGATTACGTCAACAGCTTCCCCAGCAACGCCACGCGAGTCTCCGACGACTACCTGACGGCCGTCAATAGGCTGATCCTGGATCAGGCCATCCCGCCTCCCGCGGTGCGTTTCCTGTACCTGCCCCGCCCCCCCGCAGACACCCGCCGCTACGCCGCCTACCTTCACCAGCTGGATCTGCTCACTCAGGACTTGGGTCCCGCTCTGCTGATCCACGGAGTCACGCCTGTTATCACCACCGACCTGTGAGCGCCGGCGGCTGCGACTGAACGGCGTTAAGGAGCTGCAGTAATGGCCGCCCTCATGGAGACGCAGGATTCCCTCCGGCGCAGCGTCGGCTCTGATGTCATTCCTCTAATGGTCGTTCCACATGTCCTCAGACCATAAAGTGCCTTTTTCCTCTCTAATGCTGCAGCTTCTTTTTCCTTTCAGATGAACGATATTAGAGATGCTTTTCCATCATGACTTTTATTCCCGGATGATTCCATGTGGATTCCAGGAAAACATTCCTTTAATCCAAATGCACTATTTTTCCTGACCTTTGCACGATGCTCAGACGTGAAAAACGTTCCGGGCTTCAGCCGCGGCTCCCACTGTTGATGACCTCCTGCGTCCTCGCCACTCCGCCGTTCCTCTCAGGAGGCCATGTTGGTCCGCCGGCCTTCAGCTAAATTGTTCGGATGAATTTAAATATCTGCTCATCTCATTACCTTAAGTGCTTCGAACGTTAAAAACAACTTTATGCAAATTGTGCTCAGCTGTGTGAACAAAGTGGGCTTTATGTGAGAGTCCTGCTTTTATCAGCGAACTAACAGACGCTTCCGAAGTATTTCCCTTAATCTGCGGTTTGAATGTTTTAATAATCGTAAATCAGCCAAATCTTTTGCTTTAATGAATCTGAATCTGATTTCCCATTTTTGAATCATTTCTCTTCTTCCTTCCTTTGTTTTTCCACTAATCTGTTGGAAAATACACTCCTTAAAGCGTCGCACTACATTTCTTCCTGTTTGATGGGATTTTTTTTCTGTGTTTTATAGAACAATAAATCCACTGAATGAAGTTTACAGAAGAAATCAGTTTTTGTATGACTGTTTAATTATGTCCACATTTTCCAGCTGTTGACTTTAATGAAAACAAATAAACGTCTTTTTCCATTTGCACAGTTGCTTCTGAACAAAACCTCTCAGAGTATACGGTAACTTTGGACGGGTTCATCTGAGCAGTGCTGGTTCTGTTACGTCTGGGATTCAGCAGCTCAGACGGAGCGATAAGCGGCTAGCCGGATGTAGCCGGATGGGCTACATGCTGCTGCTCTGCCAAGCAGACAGAAATTCTGCTCGTTCACTCGAGAACAGAGAAATGAACCTGAGAAAGACCCTCAATAAGTTAAACAGATTTTTAGGTTTGAGAATGAAGCGAATACTTCCATGGCTACATTTTTTTTTAAGGAAAATATTCATGGAAATTCAAGATAAAAGACTGTATTCATGCTAACCTGGTTTATCCTGCAAATGGTCAATTACTACACGGTTACCATCATGGGCTGTCTGTCCACAGCAGCGCAGGAACTGCTTCGGGACAAACATCCTATTGTTACGGTTAGATCCCGGACAAGCCCCCAAAAACGTTCTACCTGACTCTTAGCAAAAGGCAGACATGGATCACTTCTTTCAGGCTCCTGATCCCCAAAAAAACAAAACAAAGTTTTTGATGTTTAAGTCTGATTTGAACTAAAATGCATCATTTTTATTATTGGACCCCAATTATTTACATTTAAAGCAACAAAAACATTTTATTTCAATCTGAACTGCCAGTAGTTTCCTAAATGATCTGACTAAATAGTTTTATACTCAAGCTGCAGCGTAGTGATGCCATTAAACACCAAACAGCATAAAATTATGTTTTCAGTTGATGAGGTTCTGGTGAAGATTCTCAGTCGTCCAGGTCAGAGTCATTCCAAAAAATCAAAATCAATCCTCTGGACTTTGTTTCCTCGTTTGAAGACGTTTCTCTTCCATCCAGGAAGATTTTTCATCCAAAATGTCAGAAATAGCGTTTAGTTCCAGGTTTTATCCAGCAGCCCAACAAAGCCTGGTTTAAGTTTAGAAAACATGCAAATAGAAACGGATGAACGGGTCCCCCCCTTTGGAATGGGGGTCGTTTGGCTTCTTTGTTAGCCTGCAATGCCCCATACCTGTCTATGCCTCTGAAAGGGGGGTCGTTAGAGGGAATAGTTGGTCTGACTGACCAGGCGAGATCTCCTGGTCTTTTTTGGCAGAAGTTTAAGTTTTATGAATTAAAAGTTTCTGCTAAAATGAGAGAAACATTTGCAGTTACTGCAGCCTCAACAACTCTTTAAAAAAATGTTTAAATATATTTTAAACCAGATCTTTACACTTTGAAGAATCAAAATATAGATTTTATTTTAGTTCCTAAAATAAATGTCCAGCTGTTAGACCAAAGCTGTGGATTAGGGAGATGGCACAGAGGTCTTCCAGCCTCAGAGGATCCAATCAGAAAATAAAAACATGCAAACAGCTGCTCAGCATTTTAAGGACTTAAATTGTTTAATTTTCCATTTTTTTGTTGTTTTTATAGCAATTAATAGTTCAGTTTTTATTGTTTTATCTTTCAGGAAAGTGCATTTTATTTTTTGGTTCTGGTCTAATGGAATAAATGGAAACGTTTGTTTCATGAAGACATACATCCCAATGTGATGTCATCCTCTGTCACAGGGTCGCTGCCTTCTAGAGGCTCACAGAGGTACTGCAGGGGCGGCGCTGATGACCTCTGAACTTTTAACAGGCTGACAGAGGAATTAAACTGCGACGTCTGGAAGTTTGACAGGAAGGGATGGAACCTAATCAGGCGTCTGAGTCGTGGACCGACGCGCCATCGAAGCCAATTATCACAACAAAGCCGGGACTAAACAAAGGCTCTGCTGCCAGGAGGAAACATAATGAGGAGCGTCTCCACCGCTTCCAGTGACATTTTTCTGTCTGCGCTTATTTACATGATGCACCACCTTCAGTGCTGGAAAATGTCACAATGCTCCAAGGTTTCCAATTTAAGAAGCTGGAGAACAAAAGTTGAGTTGGTGATGATTAGAAGAGGATGGTTCTCATTACAAGGAGCATGAAGAGGAGCAGGAGAGGAGGAGGAGTGGGATAAAGGAGGCAGTCTGAGGATAGAGGAGGCAGTCTGAGGATAAAGGAGGCAGTCTGAGGATAAAGGAGGCAGTCTGAGGAT